GGGGCGCGCGCTCCCGGCGCAGAAGGACAGGAGGGGAGGGGAGCGAAACGCACGGCCGGCCCCGGGCGGCTCGGAGGGGGAGATGCAGCGCGGATCCCCCGGCGCACCTGCAGCCTCGGTCCGGGGATGGGGGTAGGGGGGTGTCAGGCTCCAGGCCAGCGCGGCAGAGGCCGCTTACTCTCCACCTTGCCGCCTAGAACCTCGGGGCTCGCGGTAGGCGTGTCTTTAGGGAGAAGCTCGCGTCTGGTCTCCAGGGCCCCGGAGGTGGTCGGCCCCGCCTCTTCGCACTTAGGGTCAGGATGCAATGTTTCCTTTCCAAAGGAGTGTGTTTGATCACTTGAAACGGCGATTTACGGGCAAATATTAAGGAAACAACCATGTGGCACAGAGCTGGGCAGCGGTCCCCCGAGGGAGGTTCCGGCCGATCTGTACTAGACCCCACGGCCCCCGTCCCAGTGAGGTCTGCAGCTCCCTCCCGGCGCCCACCTTAGCGCCAGTGTGGGCGTCAGCAGCCCCTCTGGCAGGCAGGGGCCCAGAACCACAGGTCCCTCTGTGCCCCTCCAGACCCCAGGTGAAGGTCGCCGGCCTCAATGCACAAAGAAAACAGGCAGAGGGACGCGGTGGGGGCAGGGTCGGGGGTGGTGTCCTGAAATTCTCTCAAAGGTCACATGTGACCTCACTGTTATCTCCTCGCCTGATTTGGGCAGGCAGCCTGGGCAGGGGCCGCAGGGTTATGAGGTCCGATCCCTGCCACCAAGGCCAGCCCAAGGCCAGCCTCCATGCTGCATCTGACTGGACAGGGGCTCTGGTGGGCCAAAAGAGCCCCTCCCTGAAATATCTCCACCTGCCACGAATCTCACCCCAGAACCTCCAGAGACCCCTGCCCTCCCTTCCTAAGACGGAGGAACGGCTCCTTCCTACATTAGGTCCCCACCCCAGGTACTCCCTTTCTTACGCCGGCACCCAGGCCCCATCCCCCACCCCAGCATGCACACACGCGCATCTGCCCTGGCCTCCGCTGCTCTGTGCCGAGTCCTCTGTGCCACACAGCCTGCGCTCTGTCCCCCATCTAGGGAGACCCCCAAGGGCGATGAGGCTCCCGCCTGGCAGGCCACCCAAGGGATTCTCTCTCTGCCCCCTTGCCAGTAGCTGGGACAGGAGACAAAGTTTATATGACCCCCTCAATAGCTACCCTCCTCTCTGCACCCTGAGGTGAACCTCATCTGCCCCAGGGAGGGGTCCGAAGCCCGGAACTGCTCTAGCTTGTCCCCCCAGCCCCAAACACGGCTTCTGGTCTGGGCAAACAGCTCCCCACCAGGGGCCAAGCGGGTCCTGGGCTGGACTCTGGGGGGGGTAGGTGGAGGGAAGACCCTCAGCTCTGTCCCAGGTAGACGGGAAAGCCCCCTGGGACGGGCCCTTCCCACGTAGCCCTTCAGCATGGCGGGAGGGGGGCTCCCCTTCACTGGGTGTAAAGGTGGGGAACCTGAGACTCAGAATTGCGTTAAAAACAGCTGTCCACCCTTTGTGGGGCACGAGAATAATCATTTAAAGGGATCGCCCTCACTCCAGCTCTCCCAGGCAGACCCCACCTGCCTCAGAGAGACTGGAGACGCGGCAAGGCCGGGCACCTGCCAGTCACCGGGGGTCGGACCCGCACCCCACGGCAAGAAGGGCAAACCTGGCTGGCAGTGTGTCCCGATGCCTGGCGGCCCCCCCCCACCCCGCCCACAGCAGTCCACGCGCACGTGCACACACATACTCAGCAACAGCCCCGTGCCCGCTTTCCACACGAGGCCACAGAACAGAGGCTGGGACACGGCTGCCCGGTGCCCGGCTGGCTCAGGTACACTTGGCCTGTGCTCCAGAGCAGACCAGAACCGTCTCGTGGCAGAAGAGGGAGGATGTCCAGGGATGGGATGAGGCGACCAGCCCCGACCCGGGTATCCCTCTCATCCTTGCCCACCCTTGGTCAGTCGTGCGACCACGGCAACGGGCCCCAGAGCTGCAGGCTCACATCCCAGGGCTGGCTGTGCTCGCGCGCCTCCCGCCCCCCAAAGGACCCCAGGACCCGCGCGCCCCGCGCCAGCTCTTTGCTGCCCTCACCCACGCCGCCCCGTACCTGGAGCCCCGTGGGGGGATGGGAGCTTACCAGAGGCGCACACACTCGCGCTTACTTGTGAGCTGGGATTACAGCACAACTCCCTGGGTTAGCCACTCAGGTAACGCTCATCTGGGGGAAACCCATGACTCAGCAATCTCTGGGGTAAATAATTGAACCGCAAACCCAGTTCGGCTAAGCGGTCACATGGTAACCACAGAGCGCTGCCCACGGTGGGCGCCAGACCTGCCGCGGCCCGGTTCCTGGCTCCGGCTCTGCGTCAGAACCCGCCGTCCACACGTCCCCACCGGCTAACAAGCCAGAGAGCTCTGGACGTGCAGGCGGCCGGCAGAGTCGGGCCTTGGAGCGCTGACAAGCCAGGGGCCTCGCTACCCTCCCGCCCACCCAGCCTGTGAGGGGCTCCCCAGGTAAGAATCATCCCGGGGCCCCGCCGCAGGGCCGTGGAGCCCTCAAAGCCACGGCAGAGGCCAGCTCCCCGGGTGAAGGGGAGGGGCAGGATGATTCTCGGGTTTCCTTTCCGGCCCCTCAGGCACAAGGCAGATGCCATTTCAACAGTCCTCATGCCACACACCCAGACCCTGGGGGGCTTGGGGGGACCCTTGTGTGGTGAGGTCTCCACAGGAAGGAAACACAACTCATGACGTCCCCCTAGTGCTCACGGGGGGCTGTGCCTGCCAGGCCGTCCTCCACACCCCAGCGAAACTGCAGGCCGCGTGTCCTGGGCCAGCGAGTGAGAAGTCAAGGACGGGGCTGGGCCCCAGCAGGTGAGGTGCCCTTGGGACACAAGGGACAGTCCCAGACTTGCGCTCCATGGCGCACCTGTGTGGTCTGAGACCCAACCCAGGAGTGTGTCCCACAGTCCCAGGTGACGGGGCAGGTGACAGACGCCAGCCACCCCCACTTCCCTCCCGGCTGGCCTCGTCTAAGATCAGCCTCCCAAAGCGCGTCCCGGGAGTTCTGCCACGAGGACGGGGGGGGGGTGGGTATAGCGAGTGCTGCTGTGTGAGCAGCCCCTCCGGGAGCAAAGATCTGGGGTCTCCCTATCTTCAAGGTTCAACAGGGGGCACCAGGAGGCGCTCTTCCTCTAAGCCCCAGGGCCCATGGTGCAGCGGTGATGGGAGGGCCGCCGGAGGGACCCCGGCGGCTTGGGTGGCGGAGAGGGGGGGGGCCTCTGGCGTGGACGTGGGCACGGGGAGGTGGGCCGGGAGCAGCGGAGCTGGGTCTGGCCACATGGGAGTCTGGGTCTCTGTGCCGCCCGCTGACCCCAGCAGGGATGCCCACCTCTGTTTCAGGTCTTCCCAGGATGGACGTGTCCCCCGACTGCACGCAGCAGGGCGGGGGGCTGGTGCTGGTCCGCCGGCGGCCCCCAGTGCCCCCGGGCCTGCGCGAGATGCTTAAAGCCAGGCTGTGGCGGGGCTGCTCCTGCAGCACGCGCGGGGCCTGGGCGCTGGTGCAGGACCTGCTCCCCGCCACGCGCTGGCTGCGCCACTACCGCCCGCGGGAGGCCCTGGCGGGCGACGTCATGTCCGGGCTGGTCATCGGCATCATCCTGGTGCCGCAGGCCATCGCCTACTCGCTCCTGGCAGGGCTGCAGCCCATCTACAGTCTGTACACGTCCTTCTTCGCGAACCTCATCTACTTTCTCATGGGCACCTCGCGCCACGTGTCCATGGGAATCTTCAGCCTGCTCTGCCTCATGGTGGGCCAGGTGGTGGAACGCGAGCTGCTGCTGGCTGGCTTTGACCCTGCCCGGGACGGCCCGGGGTCCGGGGACAACGGCACCACCCTCAACGCCTCGGCCACACTGGTGCTCAGGCCACGGGACTGCGGGCAGGACTGCTACGCCGTCCGCGTCGCCACCGCCCTCACGCTGGTGGCCGGGATTTATCAGGTGAGGGGCTGACCGCACTGGGGTTCTGCAGAGCCTGGGCGCAGGTCCGGACCGCCCGCTCGGCCACTCAGAGCAGGCCCCTCACTCGCTCGCCACCCCCAGGAGGGCCAAGGCCAGGGCGGTGCGGGGTCAAGGCCTCAGAGGGCAGCGGGTTTAGCCAGCAAGGGCGGGGTGGGCACAGGCGCAGGTGGGCACGGGGTGGCGGCCCGGACGGGGCACCCGAGGGTCTGAGGGTGCCCGGGAACAGGGACCCCGTCCAGGGATGGCTGGCCGGGTACGGCCTGGCCTGTCCGCCCTGATTTCACACCCTCCCAAGGGCCGCAGGTCTCTGGGGAGAGGGGACAGTGCCACCCGCAGGACAGGAGAAGGGAGCGGCTTTCCAGCGCCTGGAGCCCGCACGTGTGAGAGAAGCAGAAGCGAGCGTGTAAGGGCCCACGTGCACCTCCGTGTCTGCCGTGCCTGTGTGTGCACGCGCGTGGGCAAGGGACTCCAGACAGAGTCCGTTCGGGAAAGCAGCGGCAGCGGCAGCGGCGAGAAGGGGTGTGGGGCTCTGTGCCGCGGCCGCCCCGTCGGCGGCACCGCTGCCCTGACCGCGCTCTGTCCGCAGGTCCTCATGGGCGTCCTCCGGCTGGGCTTCGTGTCCACCTACCTCTCACAGCCCCTGCTCGACGGCTTTGCCATGGGGGCCTCGGTGACCATCCTGACCTCCCAGCTGAAGCACCTGCTGGGCGTGAGGGTCCCACGGCACCAAGGGCCGGGCATGGTGGTCAGCACGTGGCTGAGCCTGCTGCGCGGCGCCGGCCAGGCCAACCTGTGCGACGTGCTCACCAGCGCCACGTGCCTGGCCGTGCTGCTGGCCGCTAAGGAGCTGTCGGACCGCTGCCGCCACCGCCTGAAGGTGCCGCTGCCCACGGAGCTGCTGGTCATCGTGGCGGCCACGCTGGCGTCCCACTTCGGACGGCTCCACGAGCGCTTTGGCTCCAGCGTGGCCGGCGACATCCCCACCGGGTTCGTGGCCCCCCGGCTGCCCGACCCCGGGCTGATGCGGCGCGTGGTGCTGGACGCCGTGCCCCTGGCGCTGGTGAGCTCCGCCTTCTCCGTGTCCCTGGCGGAGATGTTCGCCCGGAGCCACGGCTACTCCGTGCGAGCCAACCAGGAGCTGCTGGCCGTGGGCTGCTGTAACGTGCTGCCTGCCTTCTTCCACTGCTTCGCCACCAGCGCCGCCCTGTCCAAGAGCCTGGTGAAGACGGCCACCGGCTGTCACACGCAGCTGTCCAGCGTGGTCAGCGCCGCCGTGGTGCTGCTGGTGCTGCTGGTGCTGGCGCCGCTGTTCCGGGACCTGCAGCGGAGCGTGCTGGCCTGCGTCATCATCGTCAGCCTGCGCGGGGCCCTGCGCAAAGCTCGGGACGTCCCGCAGCTGTGGCGGCTCAGCCCGGCCGATGCGCTGGTCTGGGTGGCCACCGCGGCCACCTGTGTGCTGGTCAGCGTCGAGGCGGGGCTGCTGGCGGGCGTCCTCCTGTCCCTGCTCAGCCTGGTTGGCCGCACGCAACGCCCACGGGCCACCCTGCTCGCTCAGATTGGGGACTCGGGCTTCTACGAGGACGCCGCGGAGTTTGAGGGCCTGGTCCCTGAGCCGGGCGTGCACGTGTTCCGCTTCGCGGGGCCGCTCTACTACGCCAACAAGGACTTCTTCCTGCGCTCGCTCTACAGAC